CCACCTCTGCCCCTCACCCCGGATCACCATCTCTGCACTAGGATCATGTACAGTGATTGCCACCTCAGTGCTTCTCATTGCAGCTCTGTCTGCCTGGACGTTGGGTGGGAAGACAGACTGACACACTGACCAACCCCTGCAGCCAGCGGAAGCCCTGACCCCCGGCAGGATCCGCCCTGCAGCTGGGGGGGGGGGGGGAATCACCCACCACACAGGTAGCGTGGAGAGCAGCTCCGCCTGAGCGCTTGCCAGGGAAGCCTCGAGTGTGTGCGCGGACGCACACACACGTTCTCCAGTTCTGCACCATCTAAGTACACCATGACATTGTGCTGTGACATCCTTTACCTCTAAGTGTCCATGTTCTGTAAGAACACGGGGTGGGCGCTGTGGCGTAGCAGGTACAGCCTCCGCCTGTGGTGCCGGCATCCCATAGCGGTGCCGACATCCCATACGGGCGCCGGTTAAGCTCCCGGCTGCTCCACTTCCCATCCAGCTCCCTGCTAATGCGCCTGGGAAAGCAGGAGAAGATGACCCAAGTCCTTGAGCCCCTGCACCATGTGGGAGGCCCGGAATAAACTCCTGGCTCCTGGCTTCAGCCTGGCCCTGCCCCAGCCACTGCTGCCAACTGGGGAGTGAACCAGCAGACAGAAGATCTCTGCTTCTCTCTATATCTTTGCCTTTCAAATAAATAAATAAATTATTTTTTAAAAAATCACAGACATTTCCTACAGAAACCTCAATACAGGGCCAGCGCTGTGGCTCACTTGGCTAATCTTCCATCTGCAGCACTGGCACCCTGGGTTCTAGTCCCAGTCGGGGCGCCGGTTCTGTCCCGGTTGCTCCTCTTCCAGGCCAGCTCTCTGCTGTGGCCTGGGAGTGCAGTGGAGGATGGCCCAGGTGCTTGGGCCCTGCACCCCATGGGAGACCAGGAGAAGCACCTGGTTCCTGGCTTCGGATCGGTGCGGTGCACCGGCCACATCGGCCATTTGGGGGTGAACCAATGGAAGGAAGACCTTTCTCTCTGTCTCTCTCTCTACTGTCTAACTCTGCCTGTCAAAAAACAAAAAACAAAAAACAAAACAAAACAAACAAACAAAAAAAACAACACCTCAATACATTCACCAAAATCTGGACAACACTGGGACAAGTTACTCCCACTTTCGGGTTCAACGCGAAGCTGTTTTCCGCAGGAGCGGAAAGCAAAGCGGTCTCAGCTCCCGGCAGCACGGCCGGCCGGGCCAGCTCTTCTCACGACTGCCCCTTCACCCTCTACCGCAGCTTAGGAAACAGCAGCTCTACCGGGACGGAAGACCGCCCGCCAAACCCTTCCAGCAGGGAGCCCCGCGGGCCCGAGGGGCTTGGCAGGACGTCGGCCACGCTGAGCGGCGCTGGCCGCCTTCCCCAGGTTACCTTTCCGGGCAGCGGGGAGGCCGCAGTACTGTGGCTAAAGTTCTTTCTGGAAGGATCTGGGGTCACACTTGGGCGGCCAGGAAAGGAGGCTGCTCTGGAGATGGGGCCCTGGGGACTCTTCTTGGAGCCGGGAATTCTGCCAGAGGAAGAAACAAAGGCGGTGAGGGAGACGGTCACCGCAGCAGGAAGGGGGCGCGTGAGGAGCAGTCGTCAGAGCCAAGGCTGCAGCTGCGCTTTCCAAACAGGCAGGCAAAGGGAGAAAGGCGGCGGCGGGCGGCGGGAGGGCCGCCGGCCGGTCACCCCCACGCCCCACGGCCGGTCACCCCCACGCCCCACGGCCGGTCACCCCCACGCCCCACGGCCACGCGCTGCTCACTGAGGGCAGAGCACAGGGCACGTTGTCCAGAGCCCTTGCTGGACCAGATGCCCAAGTGCCCAGCAAGGAGGCCCCTCGAGGCCCCGGGCACCACGACCTGCAGCCCCAGGTGGCCGAATGCCCCTTCCAGGGCAGCTGCTGCGGCTCCAACGCCATCCCTCCCTGCCCACAAGGACGCTGCCCCACGGAGGACAAGCACCGGAGGCTGCCACACAGAGGTGACACCGCTAACCTGGGACAGTACTCTGAGGGTCCAACGTGGCCCCGACCAGGGGCAGAGGAATCCTGCCCGGACCTAAGCCACGCTCGGGCTTTTCCTCAACAACCAGGTGGGCCTGCCCATCACACACACGGGGCTGGGGTCAGCGAGGGTGGGCCTGCCCATCACACACACGGGGGCTGGGGTCAGCGAGGGTGGGCCTGCCCATCACACACACGGGGGCTGGGGTCAGCGAGGGTGGGCCTGCCCATCACACACACGGGGGCTGGGGTCAGCGAGGGTGGGCCTGCCCATCACACACATGGGACTGGGGTCAGCGAGGGTGGGCCTGCCCATCACACACACGGGGCTGGGGTCAGTGAGGGTGGCAGCGCCCCAGCACTGCCCTCCTAAGACACGCCCACCCATCAGCACAGGACAGAGCCGCTCACCGCAAGTAGAAGAGCACGTAGGCCTGCTGGTTCAGGACCACCTTGACGTTGCTGGAGTGGACCAGGGAGTCGTTCATCTGGTACCACTGTCCATTGCTTGCCTGGGCAGCACAGGGTGGGGCAGGAAACAAACAGTCAAACACTGCACAGTCCTCCCTTCGTAAAGGGCAACTTCAGACCTGCTGTTGGTCACTGCTACGGGTGCTACGGCACACACTGTCTGTGTTAGCCTAGGTGTGACGTCAAAGCCAAGCGTCGGGCCCAGCCCCCAGCCAGGCCCACTGGGCGGAACTGGCCCTTCCTGAGGACACAGAGGTGGGCCCAGCGACACAGCAGCTCCCACCAACGCTCGGCCTGCACCGAGCTTCCCCCAGGACTGAGAAGCCCCGCAGGTAGCCCGTCTGGCCTCTCCCAAAACCACTACAGGTGCCTGCAGAATGGCCCTGCAAAGACATCTGTTCACCCCACCACGAAGCAACAGTAAGGACCTGAACACAACCACGAGGGCAGACGCTCTGCAGGGCCCGAGCTGGCCTGGCGGGGGCGCTGTGGGCACGCGGCACTCACCTTCACGTAGCAGTAATAGTGCCCGGCGTGGCAGCTGTAGCCTGAGTGTACCAGGACGGCATAGAGCCCGTAGGTGACAGGCTCGCCACTGCTCTGGGACATGTAGGGACGGATATTCAGGAATTCCGGATAGCCAACATCCTGTCCAAAAAGAAGGAAAGGCAAATGAACCCGGCCTGTGGAAGTGAGGGTTAATTTGCCTGCTCCGCCCCCAGCCCAGTGCCGCTGGTCTCTTAACAGCAGTGGCGGGGGAGGGGAGGTCTGCAGGCTGCAACGGGCAGGGCCCCCTGGTCAGTGGTTACAAAGCACGAAGCCGCGGAGGGCGTCTCGTCCAGTAGACTGATAGGAGACCAGTCCACCCTCGCCCTGCCCTGTGTCTGCACGGGTTCTCTCCGGCCCTGCCTCAGCGGTGAGCCAGAAGAGCCCCTGAGCCCACGCCCGGCCCGCTGCCCACCCAAGGAAGGGTGGGGACAGAGCTGGGCGCCTGGGCTTCAGGCAGGGCTGATTAGCACAGCCACAGTGAGCTGAATTCATGTTTGTTTGTTTGAAAGGCACAGTTACAGATATAAAGAGAGGTCTCCCATCCACTGGTTCACGCCCCAAATGGCCACAACAGCCAGGGCTGGGCCAGGCTGGAGCCGGCAGACAGCAGCTCCATCCGGGTCCCCCACGCGGGTGATCACCCACTGCTTTTCTAGCACATTCGCAGGGAGCTGGATTGGAAGCAGAGCAGCCGGCACTCTGATAGGAGATGTCAGCGTTGCCAGCAGTGGCTTAACCAACTTTGCCACTCCATCAACCTCTGTGAGCTAAATTTTCAATAGACAGAGGTCATGCCAGAATTTATTTATTGTAGAAACTGACAATTTTTTATAAGAAAATATTTTAAAAAATTATCTTTGGGACGGGTGCTGTGGCGAGGCAGGTGAAGTAATGCTGGCATCCCATATGGGCACCCGTTTCAGTCCCGGCTGCTCCACTTCCCATCCAGCTCTCTGTTGTGGCCTGGGAAAGCAGTAGAGGATGGCCCAAGGCCTTGGGTCCCTGTACCCACGTGGGAGACTGGGAAGAAGCTCCTGGCTCCTGGCTTTGGATCGGCACGGCTGTTGCGGCCAGCTGGGGAGTGAACCAGCAGGTGACCAGCGGATGGAAGAACTGACTCTCTCTCTGCCTCTCTGTAACTCTTCCTCTCAAATAATCTTTTTAAAAAATTCTTTTAATGATGAGATTTAACTCCATTTCTACCTATACACATAAATCCATTTTGAACTGCAGTATAATTTACAGTGAAAAGCAGATTTCAGGTATAAGCTCAATGAATTCTAACAAGACTATACTGACTGGGGCCGGCGCTGTGGCGTGGCGGGTAAAGCTGCCACCTACAGTGCCGGCATCCCCTATGGGCGCCGGTTCGAGTCCCGCTGCTGCACTTCCAATCCAGCTCTCTGCTATGGCCTGGGAAAGCAGTGGAAGATGGCCCAAGTCCTTGGGCCCCTGCACAAGTGTAGCAGATCTGGAAGAAGCTCCTGGCTTCGGAGCGGCACAGTCTGACCGCTGCAGCCATCTGGGGAGTGAACCAGCGGATGGAAGACCTCTCTCTCTCTAACTCTGCCTCTGCCTCTCTGTAACTCTGCCTTTCAAATCAATAAATAAATCTTAAAAAAAAAAAAAAAAAAAAAAAAAAAAAAAAGAGTATACTGACTGCTAGAATCCTTACTCCAACCAAGACCTAGAATCCAGCCTAGAAACCCTCCCTGGGTCCCAGCCACAGTCCCCATCTCAAAAACACGCCGTTCTCATTTCTGTCACTACTGACCAGCTTTGTCTGCTTTTGAACTTCATATAGCTAGAATCACAACACGTATTCTTTTTTGTGTCTGGCTTTTTTAGACCAAAATGATGGCTGTGAGATTTACCTAGGTACTCTGTCCTTCCATTGACAACTCTCTATCACAAAGGTCAAATACATACAACAGGCTCAACAGCCCCAAGCCAACCTTGTTAGTTTTGTGGTTCCGAAGACTAAATTGACTGTTTTTCAAACTGGGTTCCCCTGGACATCTGATCCCAGGAAGTGTGAACAGGGGAACACAAACTCCCTCGGAAAAACCACACATACTCATCCTCTGCCCAGTGCCCAGCCCAGCCTGGCACACACAGCATTAGAAATAAAAACCGGGGCCAGTGCTGTGGCACAGCGGGTAAAGCCATCACCTGCAGTGCCAGCATCCCACATAAGTGCTTGTTTGGGTCCTGGCTGCTCCACTTCCAATCCAGCTCTTTGCTATAGCCTGATAAAGCAGCGGAAGATGGCCCAAGTCCTTGTGCCCCTGCACTCATGTGGGAGACCCAGAGGAAGCTCCTGGCTCCTGCCTTTGGATCAGCACAGCTCCAGCCATTGCGGCCATTTGAGGAGTGAAGCAGCAGATGGAAGACCTTTCTCTGCCTCTGCCTCTCTGTAACTCTGCCTTTCAATTAAAAATGAATACATAAATCTATTAAAAAAAAAAAAAGAAACCACCAATCACATTTAAGATTCTTCACACTAAATTCTCCTTAGAGACTGAGAACGCTGGGGCCGGTGTTGCTGCATAGTGGGTGAAGCACACCTGTAACAACAAATCCTGTGCAGGCGTCAGTCCGCATCCTGGCTGCCCCACTTCCGATCCAGCTCCCCGCTATAGCCGGAGAAAAGCAGTGGAAGATGGCCCAAGAGGCTAGGCTCCCGAAGCCCATGTGGGAGACCCAGATGAAGCTCCTAACTTTGGCCTGGTTCAGCCTTGGCTATTGTGGCCATTTGGAAAGTGAATCAGAGGATAGAAATTCTTTCAGAAAAATAAAAAATTTTTAAATTTTTACTAAAAAGAGATTCAAAATGCAACATGGTTTAATAAAGACTCTGAGAAGGCCTGAACTGAAGAACCATCTAACTACAGCTTGGCATTTCCCAAACTCTAGACATTAGCACTCTGCAGCTGCACTTGGGAACCACCGATCCGAGCAGGACCCCAGCAGACAAGGGCCTTGCCCCAAACCACACACAGTGACCTAAGGACAGAACTCGGGCCGGGGCTGTGCCTGTGACAGCAGCAAACCATGTGCGCTGGCTGGGGTGGCAGGAGCTCCACTCTGGCCCAGCCCCTGCTGATGTGCTTGGGAAAGCAGCGGATGGCCTTGGGCCCCTGCACCCACGAGATGTGGGTGGAGTTCCAGGTGGAGGTGGCTTTACCCGCTATGCCACAGCGCTGGCCCCAAGATTTACTTTATTTATGTACAGAGAGAGGGCTTCCATCTGCTGGTTCACTTCCCAAGTGGCTATAACAACTGAGGCTGGGCCAGGCTGAAGCCAGGATCCAGGAGCTTCTTCCAGGTCTCCCACGTGGGTGCAGAGGCCCAAGGACCTGGGCCATCTTCTACTGCTTTCCCAGGTGCCTTAGCAGAAGAGTTAGATGGGAAGCAGACTAGCTGGGAACTGAAACAGTGCCCACAGGGAATGCTGGTACTGTAGGCGGCAGCTTAACCTGCTATGCCACGATGTCAGCTCTCCAAATTTTCTTTTAAATTCATTTATTTACTTGAAAGGCAGAGTTACAGAGAGGGAAAGACCGAGAGAGAGAGATCTTCCATCTGCTGGTTCAATCCCCAGATGGCCACAGCAGTCAGGGCTAAGTCAAGCCAACGCCAGGAGCCAGGAGCTTCATCTGGTCTCCTCAGTGGGTGCAGGGGCCCAAGCACTTGGGCCATCTTCCACTGCTTTCCCAGGCCACAGCAGGGAGCTGGGTCAGACGTGGAGCAACCAGGACTTGAACCGACACCCATATGGGATGCCGGCATTCCAGGTGACAGCTTAACTCACTATGCCATGCCAGCCCCAATAAAATAAATCTTTTTAAAAAATTAACAGAACTCTAGAATTGAATGAAATACATCCACCATTAAAATATTATTTTGCAAAAAATAGATCTGTCCCACAAAAAGCCACTGCCAGCGCCCGCACCTCTCAGACAGAACCCAGGACGCGGCCCAGGAGCCGGCGGCTCAGCACCCATCACGTCACTCTCGAGGACGCCTGGCCTTCCAGACGCCCACACCCGTACAGGAGACAGGGAAGGACGAGAATCAGTGTGACAGCCCCTCAAACGTGCCTGCAGATAAGGGAATGTTTCTAAAACGCAGGTTTCTAGACCCAGATTCGCTGCGTCTGGGGAAAAGCCAGGCACAACTGACTGACGCCGAGCACGGCCCGCCGGGCGCCGCGGGCACGGCACTCACCTTGGTGATCTTCCCGCCACTGAAGTTGGCGAAACGCTTGAGCGAGAGGGTCAGCACGTTGGACGTCCTGTGGATGCTGAAGCGCTTGCTGGCTGGAACCTTCTTCTTGCACCTTCGAGAGGGGAAGGCCAGGCGTCAGGGTGGGCCGCGGCTCCGGCGAGGCCGCTGCCGGGACGCAGCCCAGAGACAGCAGAGCGAGGGCATTTACCAGCGCAGACGGAGAAAGACACAGCAACACCAGCAGGAAGACCAGTGAGAGCAGCGCAGCCACAGCACAAGCAGGACATGCACGTGGCGAGTGAGGGTGAGCAGGCTCCAGTGGGCCCAGGCGGGCAGGAGCGAGCAGCTTCTGGATTGAGGAGGACAGATTTAAAGAGGAAAAGGGCTGGCACGCAAAGAAAAACTCGAAAAGCGGGTCATATTGGCGATCACAGCTTTAAAATGACCTAGACATCAAGACGCCTGCCCACTGACACCACAGCCACGAAGAGGACGATGCAGGAGTCACATCTGCTGAACCGGAAAACCACCAGGATGGTTTCAGTGAAAAGCAGGAGCCACAGGGCTCGGCGCACGGAGCAGGAAGGCAGGTCAGGCAGGCGCCCTCTGCCGTGCGGCAGACACCTCCTGCGCCCTGGCGCGGGGTAGCCACAGCCCCTGCTTCACACCGGTGCCAGCCAGCCTGCGGAGCAGTGGCCATCGCTGTGCAAACAGAGGCCGTGAGCGTCTTGGCTTCACTTCACTGGTGTGGGCAGAGGGTGGTTAAGACGCCACAGAACACTCAGGAAACACAAGCAGCGGTCACCAAGGGCGGCAGGGCCCGATGGGTATCAGGAGATTCCTTCTGGAAGGTTCCGCCTCCCCCAGGAGTGCCGTGGGACTTACTTGGCGCACAGGTAGGCATTCTCTCCGCTCAGGACGTCTGGTTTCACAAAAAGCTCCAGGGCGCGCACAATGTTTGCCGCTTGCTGAGGACAAAGACGGACAGGGATGGTCAGCAGCAGGAAAGGCTGACGCAGGACACGGGGGCTGAGGCCCGCTCCAGGCTGCGGCACGGACTCCCCCGGGCGTGTCTGCTCCCGGCCCCTTCCCAAGCTGGGAGCAGCGGCCCCAAAGCAGCAGGGGCCCGCCGCAGGAGTCCACGGGAGATTTAGCACAACAGCCACTCTCCAGCAAGACTACACCGGGCCTGCTCTGCTGCTCCGAGCCCCGGGAAGACGGCCCTGGACACGGCCTCAGAGCCAGACCCCAAGGCCTCTCCGGGGGCTGCAGAGCCCGCTTCTGTGCCCCAGAACTCCCGACACGGCAGCTCGTCGCCGTCTGTGCCTCGACACAAACCCAACTCCAGCTTTCTGGAACAAAGGGGAGAGGCACGGGAGAGGGCCGGAGAGACAGATGACGGGTTCTGCCGAGGCGGGGCCCTACCCCCTCCCTCTCTCCTCGTCACCTGCCTCCGCTGCTGTTTTGCCCTCCGCCTCACCCCGTGCCCGGGCCATACCCGAATCTCCAGCGCTATGTCCAGGTAGGGGTCGTACGTGTCCGAGACGCTCTTGCACAGCGAGCACTTCACTGCAACAGAACAAGCAGGAGTGGGAGGGCGGCCATGGGCGCTGCTGCTGCCTCGCGTGCACGCCTGCTCCCCGACCCTACAGCCAGCAGGCCCTGCAGGCTGGGGGCTCTCAGACGCCCCTGCCTCCCCACCCACGGCGCCCGGCCCCAGCTGAAGGGCGACAGTCACAAATCCAGGAGCCAACAGAGAGGTAAGGGGGAACGGCACCCTCACCACTTCCCAGACCTGCTCGTGGGAGCTGACTGCTCCGTGCCAGGCAGGCGAGTGTCTCGCAGAGAGTGAGGCAAGGCCCAGGCGCTCGGACGCCTGCCCAGGTCTGTGCAGCCGGGAGGAGCTGGCCTGCACCTGAACGCTCAGGATGTCCGGGTCACGGCTCTGAGCCCACACAGAAGAGGTGGAGAACACAGCTCTGCTCACCTCGTGATCTGAGGTACCCGCCAAAAATCTGATGGACCAAGGTGGTGGCCTGCGTCTGACGATCCAACCTGAAAGGAGAGAGCACAGCCTTGAAGAGGTCGGCACCACGCCACAAGGACGCCAGCGAGCTGGGGATGACATGTGCCACAAGACGGCCACACCTGATCCTCCATCCCCAGGGGCCTCTCGGCAGAGCCCTGACCCCTGAGCGCCCACTCCCCACATCAGCTACTTCAAACCTCTATCCGAGTGGCCTCGCCAGCACCAGCCCCGGCCCCTCATCCACTTGCTGTAACTATTAACTGCGCTGCTTCCCAGCCTAGGAGCGCCGACACAATGCAGCGACCAGCACAGCCTCATCCAAACTGAGTTTTGCAAAGTGAGGAATGAAAAACAAACTGCCCTCATCTGCCGTCACCACCGCTCATCCAGGAGGGGCTTTGCAGCTTCCAAACCAGGCAAAGACACAACCCCAGCGCAGCCTGGAACCCGTGAGCAGCGCCCCTCCCCTCGCGTCGTCAGAGGCCGACAGCACCCGCTCCCAGTACAACCAGAGGCGGGACACCCTCAACCACCAATCAGGACGCACCCCAGCAAACTGCCTCTCCTCTCCTGAGCCGGGGGTGCAGGCAGGGAGGCCTCACAGAGAGGGAGCCCTGGCGTCTCACACTAACCACGCCGGGTTAAGGAGGCCCAGTCCCCAAAGGCATGGCATGGGTCCTAGTGGGAAAAGGCAGAAGGCAGGCAGCCGAGATCAGATGGGAAACGGGGGAAGAGTCAGGGTCCTGAAAAACACCCCGAACTATGAAGGCGCGCGGTCTGAGGAGCGTGCACTTCCCTGTGCTGCCAGAGGCGGCGCCCTGGGGTTAAGACTGCAGGGTCACCAGGGTCCCAGGAGAAATGTGTAACCCCGCCATGGAGGCTCCAAGCAATGCTAACAGCAGAACCAGCGCACAACACTCCAGGCCGAACTGACCGCTTTCAGGTAAGACTGAACTCAGCAGTCACAGAAGAAACAAAATCGCTCAGAAATGAAGACTGCATTCCACTGCTAAAGGGGGGCCAAATCCCCCGAAGACAGAGCCCGGGGGTGGGGGTGGGGGTGGGGTGGGAGAACGGGACACACACACACACGTGCGCGCGGCTGTGGCACCATGGGGACAGGCAGGCTTCTTGGGACCCCCGCAGCCCAAACCCGAGCTCTGCTAGGGGCCCAGGTCTTCTACTTCCTGCTAATGTACAACTGGGAAGGCAGCAGCAGATGATGGTCTAAGCACTTACGCCCTCCCACCCACGTGGGAGATGCAGAAGCCCCTGGCTCCTGGCTTCAGCCTGACCCAGCCCTGGCTGTTGTGGCCATGTGGGGAGTGAACCAGGATGGAAGATAAAAATATTTATTTATGTACTTGAAAGAGTTACACGGAGAAAGGAGAGGCAGAGAGAGGCAGAGAGAGAGAGAGAGAGAGAGAGAGAGAGAGAGGTCCTCCATCCTCTGGTTCACTCCCCAGTTGGCCACAACAGCTGCAGCTGCGCCAATCTGAAGCCAGGAGCCAGGAGCTTCTTCCAGGTCTCCCACGTGGTGCAGGGCCCAAGCACTTGGGCATCTTCCACTGCTTTCCCAGGCCACAGCAGGGAGCTGGATCGGAAGTGGGGCAGCCGGGACTTGAACCATCGCCCATATGGGATGCTGGCACTGCAGGTGGCAGCCTCACCTGCTAGACCGCAGCGCTGGCCACATAAATATTTTTAAAAAGAAAGAAATTTTAAAAATCACTATCATTTTGACCCAGTAGATGAACATGGTAGGAATGATGTCCCCATAAGAACTTAAAAGCAGTTAGGAGGTCTGCACTGCCCAAACTTTCACTCTGCCCAGCCACTTGTCCTGCAGCCACGACCCGCTGCCTCCCAGGATGGGCGCTAGCAGGAAGCCCAACTGGAACCAGAGCTGGACATGAACCCAGAGTCAGATAAGGGCTGCGTATCCCAAACAGTGTGTTAACTGCTACACCTAATGCTCATCCTATAAAGTGATTTTTAAGAAAGATTTATTTGAAAGGCAGAGCAACAGAGAGACAGAGAGAGAGAGAGGTCCTCCATCCACTGGTTCACTCCCCAGATGGCTCCGATGACTGGGGCTGGCAGGCTGAAGCTAAGACCCAGGAACCCCAGCTGGGTTTCCCACGTGGGTGGCAGGGGTCCCAGTACACGGGCCATCCTCCACTGCCTTCTCAGGCACGTTAACAGGGAGCTGGATCAGAAGCACAGCAGACGGGACCTGAACCAGCGCTCTGATAGGGGATGCTGGCCTCACAGGTGGTGGCTTAACCTGCCGTGCCACACCACCACTCCCCGCTCCCAGGTGATTTTGAAGACTGGGAACTCCGTGGCAGTAGCTCGGCATCCCGAGGGATTTACTCAACTCCTCCTCGGCTGAGCTGCTCAGACAGAGCTACTCACTGCCTGCCCAGCCCGACCCGGCCACGGTCCCTCGGCTGTGCCCTCTGGGGCAGTCCTCCCTGTGGGCTCCAGCAGGCCAGGCGCCGCGATGCAAGCTGTGCCCCATCCACCAGGAGAGCCGGGGCAGAGGCGGCGGCGGGAACCCTGGGGAACCCTGGGGGCTGGGGCGGCGAGCACGTACTTGGCACAGCCGTTCAAGCAGGCCTTCTGCATGGCGTCGATGGTGTACCGGAGAAACTCGTGCGCATCCTCTTGGTTCCCAAAGCGGAAGTGCCGAGCAATCTCTAGGGGAGAAGAGCGGGCAGAGGCGCTCAGGCCTTCCCTTGGCCAGCGCGGCACAGAGCAGCACAGGTTACACCCGCGGAACAGTGCTAGAATCTACACAGGGCTCAGATGCCAACAGCAGACCCAGCCTTTCAGCCAAGGGGCAGTGCAGACACGGTGACGGCACGGACGCGCACCTGCCCCAGCCCGTGCGCGCCTCAACAATCATCCTTGTCTCTACCACCAGACGGGACACCCGGCACACAAGGGTGCAGGACTCATGCGGGGCTTTCCCCTCCCGGCCGTCCCCGGCGCCCCAGCGGTGCTGAGCGGGTGCTGAGCGGGCGCGTCCTTACTTCTCAGATCTCGGATGAAGGACACGGGCTTGATGGCGTTGCCGCTGTTGGCGAAGGCCTGGATGATGTGGTTCTGCATGACGCACAGCATACAGAAGCCCCCCTGGTGGCCTGCAACACAGAGAGCCCATGAGGACAGCCTCACCCCGATACATCACGAAACAGAAGGGCATGGCGTCTGTGAGGAGCGCTGAGCGGGAGACCCCAGAGCCCCAAGGTCACCGTGGGGACCCCCAGGAAGCGTCTCCCGTGCTGGACCGCGCCGGCACCAGGACCCCCGCGAAGCTGTAGCGCAGCAACCCCACCCTCTCCCGGGCTCAGAGCTGCTGGGCCGCAGCCCCTTCCCACATTTCACCGGGAGAGAGCCCCTTCCCACATTTCACCAGGAGAGAGCCCCTTCCCACATTTCACCCGGAGCCCCTTCCCACATTTCACCCGGAGAGAGCCCCTTCCCACATTTCACCCGGAGAGAGCCCCTTCCCACATTTCACCCGGAGAGAGCCCCTTCCCACATTTCACCCGGGAGAGCCCCTTCCCACATTTCACCCGGAGAGAGCCCCTTCCCACATTTCACCCGGGGAGAGCCCCTTCCCACATTTCACCCGGGGAGAGCCCCTTCCCATATTTCACCCGGAGACAGCCCCTTCCCACATTTCACCCGGGGAGAGCCCCTTCCCACATTTCACCCGGAGAGAGCCCCTTCCCACATTTCACCCGGAGAGAGCTCCTTCCCACATTTCACCCGGGAGAGCCCCTTCCCACATCTCACCCGGAGAGAGCCCCTTCCCACATTTCACCGGGAGAGAGCCCCTTCCCACATTTCACCCGGGAGAGAGCTCCTTCCCACATTTCACCCGGGAGAGCCCCTTCCCACATTTCACCCGGAGCCCCTTCCCACATTTCACCGGGAGAGAGCCCCTTCCCACATTTCACCCGGGAGAGAGCCCCTTCCCACATTTCACCCGGAGAGAGCCCCTTCCCACATTTCACCCGGGGAGAGCCCCTTCCCACATTTCACCGGGAGAGAGCGAGCCTGCCTTCCAAGGGAAGCGGAGGAACACGCCTATGCTGACTCCCAGGTGACAGCGTGCGGTCAGCAGGCCTTCCTGATGGCCCTGCCCGCTCCTCAAACGCGCAGACCCTGCTCCCTGGCTCCTGCTGAGCTCAGCAGGCCTGTGTCCGAACGACACACCTGTCAGCTTCCAGGCAAAGCACAAGCACACCTCTCACGTGCTGGGCGCAGCGCTCGGCGCACGGGCCACCGGTCTGCCTCGGCACACCCCAGCAGCTACGCCAAGGAGCTCCCACTCGTCAGAATTTAGACCGGTCAACCACAGAATCAACAGGATGACACCCAGCCTACTGACCACCATATCCACGTAAAAATGCCACACACACACACACACACACACCCCATGCCTTTTCATAACAAATGGCTGTGAAACAATGGCCACTGCAGAACAGGCAGCCTTTCATTTTTCATTTTGGCCTGTTATTTGCCTTTTTCTTTGTTTAAAAACATTCACTTATTTATTTGAAAGCGTTACAGAGAGGGGGAGAGACAGAGATCTTCCACCTGCCAGTCCAGATGGCTCCTCGATGGCCAGGTTGCAGCCAGGAACTCCATCTGGGTGTCCCACGTGGGAGCAGACACCCAAGCACTCGGGCCGGCCTCTGCTCCTTTGCCTCGGCCGTTAGCAGGAGCGGAATCGAGGCGGAGCAGCCAAGACGCTGGCACTGCACACGGTGGCTTCCCTGCGCACCAGCCCCTCATCTGCCTTTTCTAATCGTATTTAAATTTCCATTATTTTTAAGACATTTAAGTTAGAGGCAGAGAGAGACAATTCCCATCTACTCATTCCTTCCCCGAACGCCCACAATGGCCAGGGCTGAAGCTGGGAGCTGGAAGTGAACCCCGCTCTCCACGTGGCTGAGGGAATTCTGCACTGACAGAACGCCGGGGTCAGGAGCTGGCGCCAGGGATCAGCCCCAGGCGCTCCACCGCGCGACACACGCAGCTCAACAGCAAGGCCTTTGATGCAAAGACAATGAAGGCTGCGGCAGTCAAAAATCAGCCACGAACTAATACAGTTGCCAGAAAGAAAACGACCAACATGTGTTAAAGACAGCTTCTTTGTCCAAACCCAACTCTAGGTAAGACATTTACTACAGAAGATGTGCAGGCACTGTATCTTTAAAAAGAAAAAGGAGAATGGGCCATCTTCTGCTGCCTTCCCAGGTGCATCAGCCGGATCAGGAGAGGGCAGCTGCGACTGGAACCGGTGCTCACACAGGATGTCGGCAAACCAGGCAGCGGCCACCACCACCCCCTCCGATTTTTATATACTCCAAGTAGACCGCTAAGTGGCAACAAAGCAAGCCATTTGTAGCATACATAGAAATAAAATATGTGACATGAGTTCAAAGGTCACATTTTTTTCTTTCTTATTTAAAGATTTATTTATTTATTCCAAAGCCAGAGAGACAGAGAGACCTTCCATTATTACCTTCACTCCCCAAACGGCCACAGCAGCAGGGCTGGGCCAGGCCGAAGCAGAGCCAGGAGCTCCTTCCTGGTCCCCCCCCCGTGTGGCAGGGGATCAAGCACCTTGCTCACCACTGCCTTGCCAGGCACATCAGCAAGCCGGACCAGCAGCACAGCGGAGGCTGGAACCGGCCGTCTGAAAGGCGTGCCTGGGTCTCAAACTACGGCACCACAGCCGGCACCTCTGCCTGATTTCTAAAAAACCATTTTCTTTAGTTTTATCACATGGACATGTAGCTAAGTACTAACTTGTCCTGCTTTCCAACTCACAAACAGGAGTTTACACTCTGTAGTCCTCGGGGAGGCGGGTCCCCAGTGGCCGCCATGGCTGGGAGGGGCACCCAGCAGCTGAACCCCTCCTCGGCCCACCGGGCCCCGCGCCCGCCAGGCCGCCACTCTGCTGCAGACCTCATTCACTGCCAGCCTTCCCAAAGGCTCCAGTCGAACGTGCTGGGTAACGTTTTCTGAAAGGAGACAGCCGACTCCGTTCTGAAGTAACTACGCCCGCCCAGGGAGGGAGCGTAAGTCAGGGAACTCCGTCCTCTGGGCGCCGGGACTTTGGAGCTTCTACACGACGCCGTGAGAAACAGCACCTGTGGCTGCCACGCCCTCCCCGACCGCCATATCACCGCCGGCCTGAGCCCCGCTTCCAGCCCCCCGCGAACGCCCCTCATGGCTTCACCTATCTTTAAACAGGTCTTTCCCCACTGCCTGGTGGCTGCTCTGTCTGTATTCTCCATGCCGATCCTGACTGCTGCAGCGTCTGTCTTCCAGGGTGGGGCTGGTCCCTTTAAATGGTTTTTTCATGAATAAAACTCAATTTTAATGCTGTTGAATTTGTTTTCCTTTTACAGCAAGCACTTTGCATCTTGCTTAAGAAATACCCCAGCCCAAGGTCAGAAAGATACATCTGTAAGTTTTGCTTTTGACAGTTAAGTTCTTAATCCATTTTTTTCTGACAGGCAGAGTTAGACAGTGAGAGAGAGAGACAGAGAGAAAGGTCTTCCTTTTCTGTTGGTTCACCCCTCAATGGCCGCTACGGCTGGCGCTGCGCCAATCTGAAGCCAGGAGCCAGGTGCCTCCTCCTGGTCTCCATGGGGTGCAGGGCCCAAGCACTTGGGCCATCCTCCACTGTCCTCCCCGGCCACAGCAGAGAGCTGGACTGGAAGAGGAGCAACCAGGACAGAATCCAGCGCCCAAACCAGGACTAGAACCCGGTGTGCCGGCGCCGCAGGTGGAGGACTATCCAAGTGAGCCAAGGTACTGGCTCCTTAATCCATTTTTATGCAAACGATGTGACACGGGAACTCTGTTGCTCCCCATATGTAAAACCAAGTTTTGTTTTTTTTTTGTTTTTTTCAAGTTCCATTTATATGAAATGGTAGATCCGCAGGCTGGCATTGCGGTGCAGCATGTTAAGTCGTCAGTTCAAGTCCTGGCTGCTCTGCTTCCAGCCCAGCTTCCCATTAGCGCACCGGTGAAGGCCTCAGAAGTTGACACAATTGCCCGGGCCCCTGCAGCCCCCGGGAGACTACGATGGACTCCTGACCCTGGCCTCGGCCTGACCCAGACTTGTCTGTCGCCGCCGTCCGGGGAGTGAATCAGCAGACGCAAGATCTGCCTTTCCGTTTCTCTCTGCTGCTCTTTCAGGTAAATAAATAAATAACCAACCACAACTGGGAATGAAAGATGCATGATGAGATGCTCATATAGAGTTCTAGAAACCCTTTAAATAAATACATAAATAGTGCAGCCATATGGGAATTCAGAATGCAGCCTCATCTCTGCCCCTGGGCGCCCACCCTGTCCCCTGGTCAGCGTGCCGGCCCCGGGCTAACACACGACACCTCAGCCTCCGTCACTTCACGGATGACTCATCCCCTCTCCTGTTCTTCTTAGACATGTTTATTACCGGAGCCAGCACTGTGGCACAGTGGACTAAGCCTCTCCTGAGGCACCAACACCCATAGGAGCACCTGCTCATGTCCCGGCTGCTCCGCTTCCGATGCAGCTCCCTGCTGTGGCCTGGGAAAGCAGTGGAAGATGGCCCAGTCCTTGGGCCCCTGCACCCGCATGGGAGACTCGGAAGAAGCACCTGGGTCCTGGCTCCTGGCTTTGGGGCAGCCCAGCTCATCTCTGGCTGTTGCGGCCATCTGGGGAGTGAACCAGTGAATGGAAGACCTCTCTCTCTTTCTCTAACTCCACTTCTCAAATAAATAAAAATGAAATCTTTAGGGGCCGGCGCTGTGGTGTAGCGGGCAAAGCTGCCGCCTGCAGTGCCAGCATCCCATGAGCGCCAGTTGCAGTCCCGGCTGCTCCTCTTCTGATCCAGCTCCCTGCTGTGGCCTGGGAAAGCAGAAGACAGCCCAAGTCCTTGAGCTCCTGCACCTGCGTGTGAGACCCGGAGAAGCTCCTGGCTTTGGATTGGCTCAGCTCTGGCCATGGCAGCCAACTGGAGAGTGAAGCAACAGATGAAGACCACTCTATCTCAATCTCTCCTTCTCTCTGTGTAACTCTTTCAAATAAATAAATAAGAATTTAAAAATAAGTAAATAAAAATAAAATTTTAAAAAGAAAAAGGTTCCTTTACGTCTTCAGAGAGATATTCCATCGCTGGCTCACTTCCCAAATGCCCACAACAGCGGGGGCTGGGCCAGGCGGAAGCCAGAGGCTGGAGCTCCACCTGACTCCCACACGGCGGCAGAGGCTGAAGCAGCTGCCTTCCCAGGATGCACATCACAGGAAGCTGGGTCCGAGTGGAGCCAGGACTTCCTCCCAGGCACCCACCACGGCACATGGGGGCCCAAGCAGAAGTCTAGCCCACTGCTCCTCGGTGCCCTCCACTTCCGCTTTAGAATCAACTGAGCCAGCATGACCTGCACACGCATACGCGGGGAACAACATGGCCACAGTATTCCTCTCCCCTGGGGAGGCAGCTACAGCTCACTACCCTTCAGGGAAGCGTTTCTACACACATCTTGCTAGACGTGGGGCTGGGTCCTTTCATTTTGTGTCATTTTAAATCTTCAAAATAGCCAATTTCTCACCAACTGTTGTGTGGTGTAGGTGAACTGGTAAACTGGTGTACACCGGTACCTTTGGGTATACTGGTGTCTGTGGAGCCACGCTGCCACACTGCCTTGGCCAGCGCCCGACTCGGCTTCGTGCTCCCGTGTCTGCCACGCAGAAACACACCGCGCGCACCTGACGGGGTGACCCGCCCCGCTTCCTCCTCACTCCCTGTGTGCCTGCCCCGCTGGGAGCACAGCACGGTCAGCACGGGCAGGGGCAGCCCTCCTGGCCGCAGCCCTGGCTTTGAAGGGCAGCTTCCCAGCACCTCCTGAGGCCAGCGCCCTTCCTGGTCTCGGGGCTGCTCTTTCTTGGGTGAAGCGAGCACCCTCTGTCAGTACTGTTCAGTCATGAACTCGGGAAGGGGGAGGCATCTACTTCCCTGGGACTTTGCTCTTTTAGTCTGTTAATGCAGAGACAAGCATTGACTGAGTAGCAAAGCTGGCAGGGACTTCTGTGCGCTCCCTGTGTACCAAGCAGGACTCTAAGCACTGGACAGAACTCGTCTGCACCTCACACAACTCCGTGAGGAAGACAGCGCTATCATCAACAAAACAGGAACAGAAGGCGTAGCAAGGTCACGGAGCAGTCTCAAGGACACACAGCGGCTCCGCGGCAGAAGCAGGTGCAGAGCCGGCAGGCCGGCCCCAGCCTCACGCCGGGACCGCTCGCTGCGCAGACTCCGCGACCGGGTCACGTAAGGTTACGTAAGCGTGTGAGCTGCTCGGTGCTGTCAAGTGTCGCTCTGCTCGTGTTGTCTAAGTTTTTATGACTACGTCCCTGAGCACGACAGGACTGCATTTTTCTTTCTCATCATCCTCGTTCACTTCTGTCATCCGAGCGTGGGAGAATCCCATGAGGTGAGCTGGGAGGACTCCTCCTTCCGCTCCGCGAAACTGCCCCGGCCTGGCGTCCCTCCGAGGGAAGACTCTAGCCGCTGCGTCGGCTCCTCACACTGTGAAAGCCTCTGCGGGCTTGTGCGCTCCTCAGGTCCCGTGAGTTTCTATCTGACCTCACGCTACTCTCTCCTGATTTCTACTTTGGGGGCTGTTTTACAACACATGTTCAACACACTGGCGCACCAGATAAAGTAACTGAAAACACGTACTTCAGAAGCGGCATCTCTGAAAATCCTGGCTTCTGTCTGGCTAATTACTGGCAGCAGAGTTTGGAGAACACGACCCCACCTGAGTGACTGGCTTTTGTGGCCCATTCTGCAGCAGGCACCGCTCAAAACCAGGTCTTATCAGTTCCGCCACCCCACGCGCGAGGGCGCGGGGCTCACTCACAGTTGCGTGCGTGCTCCTGGGAGAGCAGGTAGTTGGCCAGCGGCGGCGTGTAGGTCAAGCACTGCACCGTGGAGTTCAGGAAGCAGGTGTTGCCCAGGTTGTGCAGCCCCGCACCCACGCGGAAGACGCGCTCCCAGCTCAGGGACAACCGCTCCGTGGGGAAGAGCACTTTCTGGGGGGCTGGGACCCCGTCACTGCCCCCCTCCAATGCATTCTCGCTGCCTGAGAAAGGGCGAGGGAGAGAGGAACAGCGTTAGCTCAGTCAGGCAGAGAGCAATCTCTGACACACACTGGACACAGTCCCGCGGGGTGCGCTCTCCCGCCGGCCGCCCCCAGGCCCCCAGACGCCCTGTGGATGACAGGACCTGACGGGGAGGAGCAGCTGAAGGAACCAGGCCCAGGCACGCCCACCCCTGCGTCCCCAGTGCAGCCCACCCATGTCCCCTTCTTCCTGCCAAGTCCCGCCTCTGTCCCCAGTAATCCCAGGGCAGGGGTGTCGAGGGCCGGGGTGCCTTCCCACCAGACCCTATCATCACTCTGCAGCCGTCCTGCCACCGCCTCCACGCCCGTACCGGGTCTCCTGGCCTGGGGCGCCTCGGCACTCCGGGGGCGGCCGGCCCCCTCTGTCCTGGGGCTCAGCAGCACGTATCTGCTCTTCAAGGTGTCCAGCTGGAAGGAGAGGCTCCTGCGGGCGGGCTCGAACTCGATCCTCTGCAAGAGGACCCTCTTGGCGGAGGACGCCAGGAGCTTCCCCAGGTCCCCATCGTCGGCCGCGTCCCTGCGCCCGGGCTTCAGGGCTTCCTTCAGCTTCTCCACGATCGGCATGGCGCAGCACTGCGGGGACAAGACAGCCACCGCCCGTCAGCAGCGCAGTCCCGGCAACGGCCGCGCTTCGGCGATCAGGACGCCGGCCCGGAGGCGCGTCCCTGGGCCCACTGCCAGGCCTTGGGGAAGCGGGACAGGGCCCAGAGCCCCCAGCAAGGACGGGGACGGCACCAGGCGCCCGACCGTCCCGGCCGTGCGTGCCCCTCCACAGACACTCATCGAGGGGCTCTGGCCGCTGCACTTGGTGCCACTTCCTTCAAAAGGCCATCGAGCGGTCCTAAGCACTTACCGAAACTAGGGACGCACTAATCCGCACACCCACCAGCTACGCGGGCACACAAATCCACGCAGCAAGGGAACAAGTCTGCACGTGGGACACGCACGCACGCCATACGGGCTTGGGCTCCTCACCAGGAAGGCCACAGGCCACATGCGGCTACTGAGCACGTGAAACAGGGCCAGGTCAGAGACGCGCCGCAACTGCTGAAGCACACACCGGGGCGGCACTGTGGCTCAGGGGCTAAGTCATCGCCTGTAACACAGCATCCCATGTGGGCACCGGTTCAAGTCCCAGCTGCTCCATTTCTGATCCAGCTCCCTGCCAATGCACCTGGGAAAGCAGTGGAAGATGGCCCAGTCCTTGGGCCCCTGCACAAATGTAGCAGACCCAGAGGAAGTTTCTGGCTCCTGGCTTCGGATCAGGCCAACTCTGGTCGTTACAGCCATCTGGGGAGTGAACCAGTGGATGGAAGACCTCTCTCTCTGTCTCTGCCTCTCTGTAACTCTAGCTTTCTAATAAAGAAATTTTTTTTAAAGGCATATTCCAGATATCGAGATCAAGAAAAGAATGTAAAGTGGCTCTAAGTTTCAGGCCGGCAGTGTCTTGAAGTGGGATTTTATACACAAGGGTTAAATAAAGTAAACGACGGCA